GCTTCCGTTCAATCTGTGCTGTTGTCTTCAACGGCCGTCAAAGAAGAGTGAGAAGAGTTGAAACTCTCTGACATCACAAGCCAGTGTAGAACATGGGCTGCTGGACAGAGTGCTTCCCCCGATGAGATCCTTTGAGATTGAATGAGACTCTTTGGTGAGCATCAAGCCTTGAGCAATGAACCTATTTTTAGTTGTTGAAATTTTTGCTTCAATGAAGTTAAAAGGGTATTAGTTGATTCCATTTTCAAACCTCTCTCTCTCTCTCTCTCTCTCTCTATATATATATATATATATACACATACACGTATGTATGTATACATATATAAGAATGCATCAGAACTGCTAGCAACAATGAATCAATGGTGATAACTCCAAAATGTAAATTAAGAAACATCTTTTACAAACTAACCACAAAGTTACCATTCCACCCAGTTCCACTTTTTAAGTAAATATGAACTCAAAACCCGAGTATGGGTGACAGAATACATGTTTGTTATACAAAGAAAAATTGTAAACAATGTTGAAACGTGTAAAAGTTGTTCAACGTGTACAGAAAGTAGCTCACAACAGTGGCACACACCTTCATCCCCAGGTGTCACTCTTCAAATTGGGAAAGCATACATACATATATATATATGTATGTATTCATGTACATACAAACGTACATACAAGTGGGTATATATATACGATCAACATCTCCAAAGCTTCCCCTCCCCCAAAGAACTATTTTCATTCTCACACCAGACTCAACTCCGCTCGTTCCTTCTCCTCCAGCTTATGAACCTGCCGCAGCTATACATATAATCACTTCCCCTATTTCATTATTAATATGATTTTAAAGGTAGTTTCTTCATTATCAGACTATGAAATAAAAGAATAAATAAAGAAAACTACGAGTGGATACATGAATATACGTGATTTATATGTACGTCTTCTTGGGGTGGTGGTGTTAGGTGTTGAAATTGTTCTACTACTGACACGAGCATGCAGGTAGGTGGGTATTTCACTTTATATATATATATATATATATTTGTCTTTTCCTTAGATTTTGTGGGGGTCTTAGTCAATAATTTAACTCATTCTAATTTGAATATTATATATTTATCACATAATTGTATTAATTATATTCATATTAACACTATATTTAAGGAATAATAAAAATAAACATGTTGAATTTAAATTGGGTATAAAATTGCTAATAGTATATTTATAGAATATTATTACCAGGGAAGGAAAGGAGTGGTGGGAGAAGCAGAGACTGAAGCATTGGGAACCAATGATGGCGAGCCACCCGGTAGAAGCGCAAAGTTTCCCGGCCGATACCGGGGGGAAAGACGGGATGAAAAAGGCGGTGGAGATGGCGGAGGAGAAGCCATATAACAAATTTTAAGAGGCCTTTTTGGATCCCCCAACAGGCCCATGGGCCCAAAAAAAAGGCGGTCATGGTCCAAAGTTGGTGTTAATGACAATTCAATACAACATGAAAAAATATTATATAAGACAATATGAAAAAATAAAAAAAAATAAAAGATGATAATGTTACACTTAATTTTTTTTTTTCCATATGTATAAGGTTAATGTTAAAAATAGTAATTAAGGTAAATTTTAATTATAATTATATTTAATTCAGAATTATATGAAATGAGTATTACGAAAATTTTTATTTGTTTATTTCTATAAACATGTTTGTTTCTCTATGGGTAAAGAATAAGTGCGTGTATCTCTCACCATTATATGAATACTTATTTTATTCATTTAGGAAACGAGAAAAACAAAGGAGACATTTGAAAATGTCATAGAGTTTGCTCTCTCGTAAACATTCGCCTTTTTTCTCGCAAGTAAATCATTTCTTATAATATTTTCTTGAGTTTTAATGTTTTTTTTGCTTA